GTTACATGTACCTACCACACAAGGAATGCCCCTGCCACAACTGATTGGGTCAGGAGGGAGCATCAATCACAGTTTTGCACATCCATACTGCCTGGTATGAAAAAGCATGTGACAGAGCTAATGCTTGGTGGTTGGTCCATTACTGTCACATGGGATGCTTCTGGTGGCTGAATGGAGTGGGGTGCAGTAAAAGGTGCTGGGGAGGTAGTGTGGACATGCACAGGTTCGCTTTAAAAGGTTTTAAACTTTGTTTTATATTTCCCTCACTGTACTGCTAAGTGTTGAGGTAAAGTCTCTTTGCAGATGACAAAAAATGAAAGAGATGGGTTTTTATACTATTGGCTAGTATTGTCTGTCATTAGAGAAGTATAGGGGTTGACATTGATAAATTCAAAAAATCCTTGTTGACTGGTTGCCATGATGTTCCAATGGTGTCAGTACTTTATGAACCAGTGATCCAGGACATTTGTGTATACAAGGACTTCACATGCTGCATACTTGTTCAGGGTCAGCAATTTATTTAAGTCAGAGGATCAGCATGACAGCGATTAGCCTTTTCAAAAGGAGGTCTGCAGTTGTTCCTTCTATTACTTGCCCACTGAAATTGATCAGATGCTAAGATTGAGTTATTTGGCTCCCAGGTTCCTCATTCGCTACTGCTTAATTTGAAAGAAAAACTTCAGGAAAATATTTTTTTTTTTTAGTCTTCATTGATGGTGAGTATTATTCACAACACCCTTCTACGGGTGGTGTGACAATGAATCCCCGGCTCTCATACAGATCAGGGATTGTGGTGTTTAACCACTCCGTTATCTCTCCTTGTCTATTCACAAAAAGCCTTGCATTCTTTTTTTATAGCCACCCACTCCTATCCCCTTGCCCATTCACAAAAATACTTGCATCCTTTTCATGTAGCTGCCCCCTCCTTTCCTTCCCTCGTCCATTCACAAAAAGCCTTGTAATCTTTTTATAGAATTCAAGGCATTCAAAAGTCATATGAATGTAGTATAACCAGCATTAGAAGTAACTTATCTGGACCCAGCAAAAGACATAACACTTTTTTTCTAGAGTTTCACTTTAAAATACAATAAAACAGCCAGCAGTGGCTGGTCACAGCGTAGTTGATGAAACCATATAAGACAAATTAAATGTTTTCCCTGGTTAAATTATATTGGAAGAACAAAATGTGTGGAATCAGCGTACTCTTCTTCTCTTCTTTTGCAGCACTGGCTTTTGTAAATATAAAACATGTAAGACTGTGTTGAAAGTCTCTCTATGTTCTCACCTTCTGCAGGTGTCATCACAGCACCCCTACATGGAAATGACCATTGGACGGCCACATGTCATAACAGTGGACTTCAACAACACACAAGAGTTTGAAGCAGCCGTCAAGTCTATAATGAGAAGCAAGGTAAATTGGTGAAATGATGAGAGGAAACCGTAAGATCCAGTTTTAAAGGAACCTTGTCATAAAATAAACATGGAGGCTGCCATTCCTAACATCTCCTTCTGAAAATGCTAGTCATGCCTCCGGCTTTAGTACTTTGAATCACTGAAGCACGTAATGATGTCACGTGTACTTCACTGCTGGCGGTCATCTTGGTGATGGACATTGCCAAAGAGAGGAGGGGACGTTCATCCAGTGGGATAAGGTATGCCGCTGGGTCCCCTCCTCTCTCGTGCAGCTTTCAGGCTCTCGGTCCATGGCAGAGTGCCCAACTTTTCAGAGGGGGTGACACCAAAATGATTCAGTCATTTTATTGTTACCACCTCTGGTGTCACCCGGTGTGAACCGCACCCCCCTTGTCACGCCTCTGGGTGTCCTAGCAACCAATGATGTCAGGGGTCCTCCTCTCTGCAGTTACTAGTTGCTTGGACTGCTGGGCACAACCAGTGACAAAGTCTTCCCACCCCCAGCTTTACCCCATCTTCCTCTTCTATCCTCTTGGGCATGTGAAAAAAAAATGTGTTACATATTTACTATTAGGCCCTGTTCCCAACAGGTCCATGAGTCAGCTGTGCATGCACTACTTTTTTCAATCACACTGCAACACACGGTATTGCGGTACCGCGTGTTGCAGCACGGTCAATTGCATTGCCGCCAGGAGGTGCATTTGAGGTACCATTCAAATGAATGGCAATGCAACACACCTGCCTCACTGTAATCATGTGTTAATCATATAAGAAACTAGGACTGCTGTAGAGGGCCAAATCAATAGGCCCTATTGGTTCGGGCCTCCATAACAGTCCCAGTTTCTCCTGTGGCCCTTTGAAAAAATGAATTGCCCACTTCTGGCCTAATCTCTCTGCATACACTGAAATATGTACCTCTTCCACCATGATTCTATTACACAAAGTTACTGTGCACAGTAAAAGTAGCAGGAAATTGGCCCTTCTGGTCTATGTAAACTTTGTTGTGAATTATCAAAATGTTAGAACCAAATGTTACCCAGCACCACTTTGCAATGGCCAATCAGGCCGCGGTGCTGAATTGTGGGAGGAAGGGTTGAGAGCCAAATGCTTCACCATACACAGAAGTTCCGAGTATTTCAAAGGAGCTCTGCTGGGTGAATGGGTTTCGGGAAGGTAAGGATAGGACCATCCAGCAATCCTATTGCATTGCGAAATCACTACCTGATATATTGATGATGATCCAGCCATCCTATTACATTGCTCCAAATCACTACCTGATATATTCATGATGATCCAGCCATCCTATTACATTGCTCCAAACCACTACCTGATATATTGCTGACATTCATGAGGTTGATAGCCGATGCGACAGTAATACAATGTATAAACTTTATAACTTGCTGAAGTATTCATAACTTCCTTTCTAGACTCCCATAATCTTCCCTGGATTATTCCATAGCTTATGTTAAACCCAGAACAATAATTAATTTTATTAACGCAAATCAAACCATCAAATCTCATCTAGGATTAACTGTTCAGTTAATATTGCTGCTGTTCAGCATTATTAAGTAGTAACATTTTGAGAAAATTAAGCAGAACTCCAAGAAACAGCCAAATGCACAATTGAAATACATGTATGTAGATAGTTTTTATTTAAGTATTTCTGATATTGTTCCACTAGACATGTAGTTTACACACTTGTGACATACTGGATAGCCACCTTTAGGGTAGTTTCTATCTTAGCTTTACCGTTTAACTGCCTGTTCAATAGATAATAAGTTAGAGAATGTTGAAAGTAGGAAATAGTGGTATCACCTGTCTATCTTTATGTGGCAGGGGTATCTGAATCACAGGAATAGCTGAAAAGAAATGCAAGACTTTTGGCAACAACAAGAGTTTTGCTTTAGTACATTCGTTACCACCAGCAAAAACATAACCCCGTTAGAGCATGACAGATGTCAAGTTTTCCTTTAGTTGGAGCAAGTTCCTAAACTTTTTACATTCACAACATGTATATTTATTTTATGGTTTTTTTATGGTTTCATTTTATTTCATGTATCACTCAAAGTGAATCACGGATTTGCATATTTGTGTTTAATCACGTGCATCAACAAAGGGTTTTGATGCTTGGATGCATATTGGTAATTTAGAGTACGTTATACAGATATTTATTTAAATATCCTTAAACATTTGGTTCACAGATTAGGAGGTGAAATTCACTCACCAATCTAGTGATCCAATATTGTATGTGAGGATGTCGAATGCCCACCCACATCCCGAGAGAGGTGGGAGCAGCCGAGGAGAGCTACTGGAATAAGATTATACGATAACAATAAGATTAGTAATTCACCTTATTCATCATCCCTCTAGACTAAACAAGCATTGAACCCTTGCTGTGGGTCCACCTCCTTTATGTCTGTTTTAATTTTTCTACAGCTCAGAGTTCAGCTTTAAAGCAGTAAATGCGCTTTTAAACAAGCCTTCACTCTCTAGCTGCAAGCACTGTGGAGTGATTCATGATCAAAATTTAAAGCAGAAGCACTAAAGTTCTCAGCAGCTCAGCTTTTTACTTATGTTGTAATGTTTTCAAGACAATTCCTATCAGGCAGTAAATGTCTATTTTCAAGACATTTACTGCCTGATAGGAATATGTACAGACTTGATTGTCCATACCCTGGTCAGAGGTTTATTTTAGGCTAAGATTGTCTGGGCTGTCAGCAGTGTATAATTTGTGCCACTCATAACTAAACAGGAATGATCGTTAAGTTAAGGAGCATGATGTTTCCTTGAGGTCTTGAGCTGTTATTATAGGCATGTGTTCCCTGTGTGTGTGTATATATATATATATATATATATATATATTAGGGCTGTGGAAATCAAAGATTAATTTCTCGATTAATCGTTAAACTTTTTGATCGATTAAAATTATTTTGATTGCTAATGAAAACACTCACCTCACCGCTGGCTTCCGGGAGTCCCGTCAGCGATCCAGTGACGCCACGGACATCGACATCACCGGACTCTTCCCCCCTTCCCCAAGTGGCTCCGTCGGCTAACGAAGGGAAGGGGGGAGGAGTCCGGTGACGTTGATGTCCGTGACGGCTAATGAAGGGAAGAAGTCCGGTGACGTCACCGGACTCCTCCCCCCTTCGTTAGCCAACGGAGCCACTTGGTCCGGTGAGTTTGCCCAAGAAACTTTCTGCAATAGAGGTCTAAACAGATCCCTGATATTTCCCTTTTAAAATAGAAAAAGAGATTGAGGACACAAGTCCTCAATCTCTTATTCTGCATCCTCTCTTATAAATGAACAGGAATCCTCTATGAGTGTTCCTGTTCATTGATAACATGTGGATAAAGTATGTTTACTATAACTACAATCATGAATGAATAGGAGGTGATGTAGATCACTTCCCATTCATTTATAATTGAGGATATAGTAACCATACTATGTCCTCAATTATTTACAAACACTCAGCGATCACTGATCCCTGAGTGTTTGTACCTCGCTCTCCATCCTGACAGCAGTCACTGGAGGCTGAGCGATCGGTGCGGGAGGAGAGCTCAGCCTCCTGTGACAAAAAAATGACACTTTCGGCATTTAGCCAAAAGTGCCATTTTCGGCTGATATGTTTCGGCAGCCGATATTTCGGTGCATCCCTAATATATATATATATATATAATGATTTTTTTAGACACACAAACACATACAGCACGGCATGTGGATTTATAACAGTAGAGCGATAATGTAGAAACTGTGTGTTGTCTTCCTGAGATCAATGATCGGTTTTATATGCTAGAAAATGGACAACTGGCTGTACACACAGGTGGTGCTTTGGGAATGTCAGGGCTGGTGTTAACTCAGGAAGATATTTAAATAAGACTGTTCTCGGAGGCAAAATGGAGCCGAACATAAAATTATGGCCACTGTTCATCAGTTGCCATCCAGTCACTGTTGTTAGAAGGATATGATTGTGTTCTTTGGACCAATCGTGGATTTCTCGAGTAAATGGGAGCAAACTAAGATAAAGATGGATAGGCAGAAGCTATCAGGAGGATTTCACAGAGGAAAACACTAAACCATGATAGGCAGCCATTTTCCTGAGAACGCTTAATCACCACCAAGTCCTGTTCAGTAAGATATTTGTAGACCAACAACAACCGGAGTGACTTTTAATATATCCTTTTACAGAAACCATTGCATTTGCTAGAGAAGGGTATAGTGTATGCATGTATATGTATGTAATCGCAGCCTGTATGTTTTATATATTGTTTTACCTGTAACTAAGTAGTTTGTGCACGTAGCACATTTGTTGTATAGTAAAATTATGTTAAATACTACTCAGTTAGTTTCCTTGGTTTTACTACAAGAATTAGATAAATAGCTATAAAAGTTTACAAAGTAAAACAGGCATTGCTTAGATAAAGAGCCTACCATGGAAAGAATCTGTACACACAACACATGTATTGTATGATCTTCACATAGGCTATGGGTGACAGCAAAATACTTTGCATTGCTAATCTCTTGAGCATTTCTCTCTCTTGCATCTTAGAACTGTGATATTTTATTCAATTCTTAAGCTGATATCCTGCTGCTCTGCCTTTTGTGATTGCATCAGTGCAATGATGGACAGATAGATACATATATAATAGATAGATTGGAAGTTAGATATAGCACTGCAGAACCCCTTGGCAAAACAAAAAATTAATGTTACAGGCTGGAGGGAGGACAGCTGGGACAAGTAGGGGGAGCGGCTCAGCCATTAAGGGGATTGAGGTCCAGTTAATGCTTCAATTTGAGGTCATTGAGCCGTGGAGGTGTCAGATGCGGGTGGTTTAACAGCCAATATTCCCAAGCAGCTGAAAGAGAGCTCTCATTATCTAGAAGGTTCCGTGCAGAAGGATAATAGTATATCACAGAGCTCTAGGACAGAGCCCTTGGGAGCTCATTAGACAATGTGATGAGGAGAAAAGAGCCGCAGTCACAGAAGCAGAACTCGC